TTCTTTCCTTCCTTCCTTCCTTCCTTCCTTCCTTCCTTCCTTCCTTCCTTCCTTCCTTTCCTTTTCTTTCTATTAGTATAGGTCTTCACAGTCTCACTACACAGAACAGACCTGTAGTGATCCTCCTGTTTTCAGCCTCCCAAGCTCTGAGATGACACACACGTGCCACCACATCCAGTCTCAATCACCCTCCTCAGCATGCCCCAGGATCAAACCCTGGTCCCTGTGCCTACCTAAACTGGTGCTTTAGTTCCCTGAGCTATCTGGCTGGCCCTTTTTCTCTTTTCTAGTAATAATCTTTCTTCTTCCTTCTTGCCATCTTTTCCAGATTCCACATATTAGGGAGCGAATGTGACATTTGTCTTTCTGGGTCTTCTAAAGCTGATGATTGCCATATGCATCCATTTCATTTCATGTAAATGACAGAAGGTTTTCTTCTTCATAGCAGAATAGTGCTCCACATCCCATTTTCTTTATCTGTTTCTTCAAAGGCATGGAGACTTTCCAGATCTTGACTACTGTGTGACTCATGCCCTACAGGAGACATGAGTGTGTCGGTGCTGCCTACAGTGTACTGCCTTTGGCTCACGTGGCCTTATCAAATGCAGTATACCTGGATTAAGCAGTAGTTCCATTCTTAGTTTTGTGAGGACCTTCCACAGTGACTTCCATGGTGACTCTACATATCCCCAGCAGCAATGCAGAAGGATTTCCCTTTCCTTGTTTTCTTGGCAGCATTTATGTGTGTAAGTAAATGTTTTGTGTTCCTGATGATAACAATTCTAAGTCTGGCATGAGATTAGCTTACAATGTAGCTTTGATTTGCAATGCTCTAATGCTTTAAGCTGTTGTATTTTTTTTTCTTATTAGTATTTGTACTTTTGTTTTAGATGTATCTGTTCGATTCGTTTGCCCAGTGGTTGACTGGGCTTTTTCATTTTTATTTTTTGGGGGGCATTGAGGTTTTTTTTTTAGTTCTTTGTATATGCTAGGTTTAAACATATGTCAAGAGGGTACTTAGTAAAGATTTTTTTTCTCCGTTCTGTAGGCTGCCTTTTCATTCTTTGTTTCCTTGTGGAGCAGTAAAATTTTAATTTGATGTAATTCCATTTGCTGCTTTTCGCTATTACTTCCTCTGCTATTGGAACCCTTTTGAGAATGTCTTTACCTGTGTGTATGGCTTCAGTTGTTCCCCTATGTTTTCTTTTAGCAGTTGCAAAGCTTGTGGTCTTATTCCTAGGGCTGAAATTAATTTTGAATTGGCCTTTGTATATATAGAGAGAAAAGAATCTATCTTCTACAAATGGATATTTTCCTCACTAGTGTTTAAAGAGGCTGTCTTTTCTCCAATGTAGCCCCTTCTTCAGAATCAGATCACTGTAGATACGTTAGATATATGTGTTGTTTCTCTGTCTTCTAATCTGTTCCATTGTTCAGAATCTAGTTTGTTGCACTGTTTTGTATGTATTTTTATGCTAGTATCATGCTGTTTTCTTAGCACAGCTTTGTAGTACAGTCTAAAATTGTG